TCTTTTATCGCCAAGTCTCGCTGTTTCTCAGCAGCGGCAAGCTCTTCGCTAAAACTCTGAGATCGGTCCTTCCACGCCATAACAGGCTTCCGTTGAGTATTCTCGGACTTCTTTTCTGCTGCCGCAAAGGGAGACTTGGTTGGTGCTTTGGGCTTCTTGGGGTACCCAAAGACCTGGCGATGGGTCACATACTTCATGTGTGGCACGGCTTTGTATCCCCTTAGACTGAACATAGTCTCGTCGTACTCTTCTCTATGCTTCTCAGCCTGTTCCTCCAGTTCTTTGACGCGGGCCAAGAGAGTATCGGCAGGGTGATCGACTCCCTCTCCCTTCTCCTTCATTGCCTTGTCTCTTCTGAGAGTCTTGATGGTCTGGAGATATCCTCTTCTTTGGATTTTATGAAACGCAGCCGTGCTTTGAAGCAGTCGCGTTTCCTTGCTCCACGTCAATTTTAGGATTTTTCTAGACCTTTTCTTTGGTGAGTGTACGCGAGAGAATATCGGGCTTTGATGAGGTGATAGCTCAAAATGCCGCCTGGCTTCCTTGAACTCACGTTTTTCTTCCCTTGTTAGCTTTCCCTCTCTAGCAAGCTTGCTATATCGATATAGTTGGGAACGTCCGGGTCTTCTGTTACCCGGCTCCCTTGATCGGCTAATGCCCTCAAGCTCGAATAGTTGTCGAATCAGATAAAGACTCCCTGTCACAACCACCGGCCCACCCTCAGACTTGGCGACCGCCCATGGAAGAGCAGCTGAAATATCGGGGGGCCCATCGTAGATTTGGTCGTCGGGGCTTTGGAGCAAACTCCTAGCGTGCTCAGTACCGTAGTTGGCGGGTGCTGGTTGAGGATCGTTGGGGCCTTGGCTGAATTCGACCATGGCAAAATTATCGTGCGGTTGAACGAGCTTGTCGATGATTTCCAACACAGGCTTATCCTTGCTGGCCGACATGCCCATAACCCAAGTCACTGGCACATCCGGCGTTCGCAAACGCTTGTCGACATGACTGGCCAGTGCTTCAATACCCAGCATGTTGTGAGCACCATCGACCAGAATATCTCGAGGCGTCTCGATACTAGGCGAGTCTACACGAACTGTTTCCAATCGACCGGGTAAGAAAGGATCCATAGATAAGAGCTTGTTGAAGTCGATTGGCAGCCGTGGGAACAAGTGACGGAATGCCATGGCCGCGCACATCAGGTTCTGCACTTGATAACTTTCAAGCTCCCATTTCTCATTGTTGAGGGTCATGAGTAAAGGTTCACCTTTCCATGTGAGAATAATGTCTGTACCTATCTCCCGGGCGTGTTGTCGGAGAACGTGTATGACAGAAGGAGGGTTAGTGTGGTCAACGATACAAGGAACGTTTTTTCGCATGATGCCGGCTTTGACTTTGGCGATGTTTTCGATGGTGTTTCCGAGGTACTCTTGGTGATCAAGACCGATCTTGGAAATAATAGTGACTGCCTTGCGCTTCATGGCATTGGTCGCATCGGTGGCGCCGCCCATACCAACTTCGACAATGCCATAAGGAACGTGCATCTTGTTGAAAACCCGGAATGCTGTTGCCGTCTCGGCTTCGAATGGTGATAGACCTTTGGGATCATCTAAATGTTGATATGTCCAACCAGTGGCAACTCGCTGCCACTTCTCTTCAACATGCTGCATTTCCATCTCGTACATGCGTCGATTCACATAGAGGCCGTTTATGATGACTCCATTATGTCTCTCTGGAAAAGCGGGTGACGTGAAGCTTCCATAACCGAGACCAGCGAGTTTGAACAGGGCGGCGAGAAAGGTGCATATTGAGCCCTTGCCATTCGTTCCAGCGACATGTATGCCTTTCCACTCTTGTTTTTGTGGAACGACACGTTTGATACGATCGAGACCCAGACGAATATCTCTGTAACCGGCTGTTCTCTTTCCTTTCAGGACACGATTGATGCGGCTAAGAGCGAATTTGATTTCCTGAGAGGAAGACATGATGAACGTTGAAGTGAGACGGCATCTCACCGGAGCCCGGCGCTAGGGTTTACTAATGCCCTATGAGGCTCCTGAGATGCTATTCGAAGCAGTTCCAGGGCGAATTGATGAATTGGTGACGTTTGAAAGGTGGAGATTATCATCGACGTCAAGACATGAATGAGTCTTGAATGACCATTAATTTTCACTGGGGGCAATTGATGTTGAAAGTAGTGGGGTTATTGCTCATAGAGCGAGCTCAAGCCACAGAGTCGATAGAGAAGAAAGTGGCATGATGTGGCGTCGTACGTGGCGGTGCAATTTCTCGTGCATGTTCGTGTTGATTGGTTCTCTCTACACGTGAAGTCAAACGCGCACGCGAAAGCAGGCAACCTCTAGAGCCGCAATGACTTATGCTCTTTTAATTGGTTGCTTTATTTTTATTACTCTCTTCCTCCCTTGACCCCCCGCAACCGTAACCCCTTCGCCCACTGCCCACTCCGTTCCTTCATCCTCTCCACTGGTTAATTACCCGCTTTCACGCTTCACGCTTCACGCTTCCGTCTGGCTTTATCAACTTTACTACTACCTATCTAGGTAGCCAACATCATCTTCATCATCATCGTCATATCACATCGTCTATTCTATCAATGACAGCAACTTGATACCATTTAGCATTGTCGCCGCCATAATTTCTGCATCTTTTATTTGAATTTTTCGTCGCTCCCCTCATTCGTTTTCCGTTTTCTCAACCATGGGACTCCCGTAAGCGCACCCTTGTTTTTTAAACCCCATCCACAAACTTTATCGTCATTGCGTCGACGTAGTGATGCCCCGGTCAACGGATATCATTGTCGTCGACATCGCTATCGCTTCACTACATCAACGCAACGGCACGCTGCTGAACTTGCGAATTCGAATGCGCCTAGCCGTTACTTGATGTCGCGCGCTTCGTCTTTGCATACTCGTCGCAGTAGTCATGGCCTTGTCCTGTCAAGATGTCCACTTACTAACATTGTGCAGCTTGTTTATTGCCCCCGTCGAGTCAGATCTCCCATCCAAAGCTGCCGACAAGACAAGTGCGACAGCGCCGTCTCGCTCCAGCATCCGTCGCACACGTACAACTGGTCGCGTCAACGATCGCGCCGAACGTCGCAGGATCCTTCGCCACTATGAATCACTCGGACAGGCTGGCGCTTTCAATCCCGCAGATTTTCAACCTGTACGGGTCGAAGCCGGTTTCCCCCCTGACAACGACCTGACAACTAGACCGTTGCGCGATGTCCTGAGAGACATGAACACATCCGACGAACACAGAAGGGACCGAGTTGAAGAGCATCTGCACTCATTGTTCAGGGATGGCAGTAGTGCATCCGTAAACCATACAGTACGCTTACCCGTGTTTGATACCCTAGAGCATCTATCTCAATTCGAATCTCATATTGACCTTAAACTTTAGTCACGGGCATCTGTTCCCGAGTGGCCCCTGAGAGATGATGAAATCCCTCGAGCGGCCCCCCCATTCATACTACATCACCCGTTCCATGGTCCTCCTCCCACCATCGAGGATCTCCGTGCAATGGGTCGCGCAAACCTTGCCAGACAAAACCAAGTCGGACTCCCACCATCGGCCACTCGACGCAATCGACACCTTGATGGACTTGGTGACCGTGAAAGGAGCCTCAGCCCTGAGGTTTGGGATACCCTCTTATCTACTCTTACCCCTGACCCTCAACCGCCGAGCGCAGGATCGTCTTTTGCTTCAAACATGGCTTCCCAGAGTGCGGGCGCTACCTCGGGTACCTCTTTCACTGCTCCCGACTTATCCCAGGACACAGCAATAGATCAAGCTTGCGAGTCTGGCTGCGAGGGGTCTGAAACAGAAGAACCTAATCCTGCGCAAGCCATACTAAGCCGAATTCGACGACGCCGTGAGGAGATGCGACGTGTTCGCGTACGAATGCCCGGTGTAGAGCCTGATAGCCTTTACAACAGGCCGGCCGGTCGGGACAGCGGTGCAGTCAGCTCTGATTCACGACATCAAAGATCCCCGGATGGTCCAGTAGTTGATCATCTGAGGCGCGCTAGATTAATGCGAGATCGCCAAAGCCGCAATAGCTATAACCGAGCACGTCAAGCTTGGGTGGGACGCTTGTCCGTCGGTAATTCAGATGACGAGCAAGGCACGGAACGAACGAGACGCAGCCAAGAGAGCCCTGCAGCATCTGGAAGCAACACGCATACTGGAGAAGAAGATTGGATGGGTATGCAACGCATTGTAAACAGCATGGCGCGGCGCGAAATCATCCCCGATGAATATTGGATTGCGGCTGGCCTCATTCCAACGCTGCCCGGTGATGGGACGGAATAGAAGGACCCGATGCAGCCAGTCTTGATTTAATTTGGAACGGTGTTTTAAAGAACGGGTTTCCTGGCTTACAAGTCAGGGTGTGCGGCGTTACCAAGGAAAAGCGAACCAGGGTTGGAACTGATTACTTGTATTACAATTGTATGGATGTCTACATATTGGCTCAGCTTGGAGCAGTAAAACGATATAATGAAAGAGAGCACTGATGCACTTGTCTTTAGACCTCGAGTCGTATTACTGAGTGTACTTATTTGTTCAATGGCTTCCATGAGTATGTGATGTGGCCAGGCTCCGAAGAACATCTATCTTGATCCTAGCAGGTCCCATTTTGACATGGCTTGAAGGACCTTGTCATCGGGACGGCTACGTGCTGCTCCAAGGAGCCTCGCGTAAAGAATACGATAATATAAGGTATCAAGACGTTTTCTTCAACGACCCAACGGTCCGGATTAAACCGCCACCAGGAACTCGTAGTAGTCTACCTATCTATCTTCTTTACCCACATGATTTGGCGCTGCTTTGAACCTTCAAAAAAGAAATCTAAGAGCAGCAACCATCACAGTAGTAATCCAATAACGTCTTTACCGACATAGGCTTTTGCCTTTTAGCATCATCAGAGAACCAGGCAAAAAGATATCGTAATAAAGATTCGACAAAAAAACAAAAAGCAATGCACGAATTGGGATTCAAACCCAAGAATCTTACGATACTGCAAACCCGGGTAACCAGGCAAGAGAGTTTCTTGAGTGCAGCGCCTTAGACCCCCCGGCCATCCGTGCAAGTTTAATTGGTTGAAGATGAGACCTGTAATTGGAAAACATACGTACAAGTCCTGCTCAGATGCCGATGGGGAACTTCAGTCCAATGTCGCATGTAGATCACCAGGGTGCTGCAACGGGAATGATGTATTCGAGAAGCAGGTCCTGGGAGAATTTCGAGACTAGGGAAAGTCCACAGTTCTATCAAATGTTTTTTACTGCTACGGCTAGTGTTGACCAGTTCACTGGAGGTTTAATCGTTAGAGACATGCCGTCTTATGCCGATCATCAAACTCAATGGCGGCTTCAACGACAAATTACCAAGTACATTCATGAAGATGTAGCGGCTGGTTTCGCCCCATTCCTATCTCTAGCGGTACTTTTTACCAGGAAACAGGTTAAAGTGTCTAAGTCAGGTTGACTAAAATATTCCTCATCCCATAAATCAACACATGCCTCATTGGTGAATGTCTCAACCTTGTATTTGTGAATAAAGGTTGCAAGACGTCGTCATGCCAGCGTCACGTAATGCACGCTTTGAACGGAAATGAGATGCAATTTCAGCTCACGGTTCAGCTCACATGCAAACCAAGAATCGAGAACTTCCGTGCACGATATAGATCGTCGGCGAGGTGCGATAATATCTCTCCTGCCCTTGTCAAAAGACGATAAATCTAACTCAACTTAGCAGGCTGGTAAAGCAGATCGGAGAACCTTGGCGGTCCTGGCCTGCCTGACCTTGCTCTTTTCGCATCCGGGATCAGGATGAGACGCATTAGTGGCAAGACTCGACGAGAAGCGAGCAGGGGAACACTTTCAATTGGGTTTGATGATGTTGGGCTGAGTTGAAGTCTTTGGTTTAGATAGAGGTTGTTGGTTGTTCTGCTTACAGGTGGGAAGGCGATATTTTGACACAAGTGGTAATTGAGGCGTCGGAGACAAAGGCTGAAAGAGAGATAAGCCGGGATATTGAGAGACTTTGATTCATGGGTAAGTTTGCAAGTAGATGAGGTGTACATTGGAGCATTCCTTTAGACTTGGTTAACGGTGAGGCTTGTGTTTCAGGCAGTATGTCGTGAGCACATTGTTTTTTTTTCCTTATCCCGAGATTTGGCTCCCTTTGTGGATTGTATCTGACACTGCTTAGTGTGATATAGTACCTCACAACGGAAGTAACGGAACATTCATGTACTGTTGACTTGGATGAAATAGTGGTCAGTGTCTGAAAACATCCATGCCTCGTCTTGTCTTGCCTTACACAGGATTGGATGGTATGTGCAAGCATGAACCGTTTCAAAGAAGGATAAGCCTTGTAAGTTGGGTATTCCAAAACAACCCAAGTAAAATTTTCTCTTGGTTTCAAAATCCACAATCGAGATTTGCATCGGCATCGGGTCTGTACATGGACCTTTTTGTTTGTAACAGAACCCAATACGCATGGATTGCTGTGTTATTGATGCTGTTCAACTGTGGATGGATAACTGCAGAGAAGAAGCGAGCTAGTGGGGGGATTAGCCCTGCAAGCAGCCAGGTTGTAAGCGCGGGCAGCCATGGACGCTACCAGGGCGTTGATTACAGGCGGCACGGGCCCTCCGAACATCCCTAATCCCCCGCCGTCAGCAGCCGAACCACGCTGTCCAGTACCGGTAGGTACCCATTAACCCCAGGCACAGGCTTCCATTGAATGGATCTCTGCCTCCGTCACTATCACAAGGTGTGCTTAGCCTTAGCCTTAGCTTAGGTTGCCGAGACAAGTGGAAGAAACAACACCTCGAGTCCCTCCCAAGCGCGCATGATTGATTGGAGATCCGTTGGTTTTGGTCCAAATTTCCGCCCAGTCAGTTGCATGCGGTTCAGCGCAGTGCATTACAGCAGTCCTTCCTTACCTTCCATACCTCTCTACTTTTTTTTCTTTTTTCTTCTTTTTTTTCTAACCCTTCCATTTTCCTTCCCTTCTCCAGCAACAGACGGCACCATTACTTCGCTTGCTGTTTGCCTTGTCCCTCTTTTAACCCTGTTAGCGATCCCACGAACCGAAGCGAACGGGCTCCCTCGCTCCCCTCACAATCATCGATTCCGCACGCTGACGACTTCGACAAGGCTCTTTAGCGAGCCCCAAGTATACGCCCTACCTGGATCCAGGTATCAACGACGATATCATCCGCCATATTCAACTGCAAGAGCTCGATAACCGAACCCGACCGGCTTCGTATGTAGAAACGAACCGCCCTGCGTCATCCCGCTCCCTTGACTCGATCCTCGCTGGGAAATGACACCGTTGCCTGGGCCTAAACTTCGTCAATCCTCCGCCGCTTGCCTCTACTATCCTCGAGGATAGCATAATTCAGCTGGTCGCCATCAAAGTCGAGCATCATTGAAGGAAGGGAGTTATTGAGAGATGGTGCCCGAGCGGCAGTACCATGGCAATGGCCGTCCCGCCATAGCCTCTCGCGAGCGATCTGTGCCCGGCACACCTTCACGGAAAGAGAAGATTCGAGAGAGCTCTGCCCTGCAAGACCCAGGTCTCAAGGACTATGTTCGTATTCCCCTGCCGCCGATGTTGCTGGTACCTGAACGCTGGGATTTCTGGATGGGAGCATGATTTTGCGAAAGTGATGGCTGACATTTGCTTTTTTTTATGGTTCAGCGCTTAGGCGAATGCCTTGGAAAAGGTGCTTTCGGATCCGTATATAAGGCTTTCAACTGGGGTAACGGCGAGGCGGTCGCTGTAAAACAGATAAAGCTCGCAGATCTCCCCAAGAGTGAGTTGCGCATGATCGAGGTGGGTTGCCAATCAGCTGTTCTGTGCTTGACTATACGATTTGAATGAACTAACATGTGCGGATGATGTTTAGAGTGAAATCGATCTTCTCAAAAACCTTCATGTAGGAATATCCGTCCTGCCACGTTGATTTGAAGGCTAATAATAGTAGCATGACAACATTGTCAAGTACATCGGTTTCGTCAAATCAGATGACTGTCTTAACATCATCCTTGAGTAAGAATCTGTGCTACCTTTTACAGGTATGAAACTGACGAATCTAGATACTGTGAAAATGGTTCTCTGCACTCAATTTGCAAGTCGTACGGCAAGTTTCCTGAGAATCTAGTAGGGGTTTACATGACGCAGGTCCTGCAGGGACTGCAATACCTCCACGAACAGGGTGTCATACACAGAGATATCAAAGGCGCCAACATTCTCACCACAAAAGATGGCACGGTGAAGCTCGCAGATTTCGGTGTGTCTACCAGTACGCTAGCTGGAGGCCAGGATAAGGAGGCACAGGTTGTCGGGACACCTTATTGGATGGCTCCCGAGATCATTCAGCTTTCTGGAGCGAGTTCTGCATCTGATATCTGGAGTGTCGGTTGCACAGTTATCGAGCTTCTTCAAGGCAAGCCTCCATACCACAACTTGGCTGCTATGCCTGCTCTGTTCGCAATTGTCAACGACGACCACCCCCCACTACCCGAAGGCATCTCTGCTGTGAGTATCGATTTGTTCCTTAGCTGTATGTCTACTAATCCCGCCAGGCTGCTCGAGATTTCTTAATGCAATGCTTCCAAAAAGACCCTAACCTCCGTGTATCTGCTCGAAAACTACTTCGTCATGCTTGGATCACAGGGTGTCGCCGGACGGAAGCTCCTGTATCAAGAAAACCGGCCAATTTCAGTGACGCCGTTGAGGAAGTCAAGCAATGGAACAAGGCTCTAAAGTCTTCAGAACCCAACCTCAGAGCATCACTCGGCTCTGAAACCGGACCTTCAACAAGACTACAAGGTGGAACTCCCGCCAAGGGTTCTTTATCGCTTGCAAAACTTCGATCTGGCGCTGGAGCTTTCAGTAAGCCTGAATTAGCCGGTATGCCGTACTTTGATACTAGTTTAGCCACAAGTCCACGTTCTAACACTACCACAGATGATGACAACTGGGACGATGATTTTGCAACATCTATTTCACCAAGTGCACTGCATCTACCTCATCTCAAACCGCAGGACAACTTTGGTGGTCTACTATCAAGTGATCGCTTGAAGGCGTTCGCCTCAATAAACGATGGAAGGAACGAAAGTAATACATACGACGACGACTTTGAAGGAGAGTTGATGACCATAAAGGGGTTAGGCCAATGGCAAGACAGCAGTGATCTCCAGGAACAGACCATCAGACCAACACCAAGAAAACCTACAAAAGCACCAGAGCCCGTCAAAGTGCACAGTCGGAACAAGTCAAGTACGAGCAAGGCCGTAGGCGGAGGCCGGCCCAAATCACCTACGAAATCCCACCTCAATAATAAGTTCGAGTTGCCGTTAAGACCGGATCTTGCGTATCGAGAACAGAGTGTAGATGACTTTTCGGACCTCTTTGTGGACAACGACAATGTTTTCACTCACAACGTGAATCAGGCTGTGAGAAGAGTAGGTCAAACGTGGCAAGATTGACAACAAAGACTAACATGTTTCCAGAACTCACGACAGAGCGATGCGCCACAGCTGTTTCACCCATCCGATCTTACATCGTTACCAAGGTCAATGCAAGAATCCAGTTCGGGTAGCATTAAGAAGAAACCATTATCACGGCCATCAGTTCTTCCAGATGCGCCAATGCGACGGACGCGGTCGGGTATAGAGATCCAGAAATTCGCAGAAGATGACGACGAAGACTTTAGCGACGTTTTCGGACCTGAATCATCAATAGTGGAGAAAGAAGAGAGCGAGAAGGGATCTGAAGATGGTGGCCTGATGCTCATGTCCCGCGTATCGAGCAGTTCTTGGCTAGGTGACGAAGAGGACGAAGACGATCCGTTTGCATACATGGATCCAGGTTGGGATGAGATGGATTTGGAAGCCAATATTGCCCGAGATCGACACGCCAGGTTAGCAGAAAGGGTAGAGGATCTAGTGAGGTCCTTGAAAACGACAGAGGGCGATGATGCCCTGGCTGAGTTCTCCGAAGATTTGGTAAGTGATTACTATGTCATGCGGCATGGATTACTGCTAACACGTTACAGCTTGCTTTACTT